GTGGAGGAGGAGGACTTGGTGGCTGAGGACCTGGGCGAACGTATGCCTGGGAGACTGAGGGTGGATTTTGCTACCTTCTTCCTAGACAGAAACTCAGCACATCACTGCTTCCACTATGTCTAGACATTTCCCTGCAGGAAGTAAGTGTGGACAATAAAGTGACAAGAATAGGTAGAGCCAGGTTTTTGTTTTATAAAAGAACACACAAAAGTAAACAAACATCCCAAAGGGAATTCCTGTGAGACAAGATATGTATCATCACTAGAATGAGACGCTGGTACACTTCAATGCTGGGGCGATGATTAAAGCTATGCTGAGGTCCTGTTATATAAAACGTGTTCACAATCTGTGTGCCTGCCAGGTGGAAAGCTCTAAGTATTATTTCAATATTCAGGTATTTCAAAATTACACAGTGTGTACATTTTCTCAGTGTTAGGCTGCATATATAATATGTGCTTAATATTCTTTGATGATTTAATCTGCCTTTTTTTTTCACTTCATTTTGCATTCATTTATCAATGCAAAATTTGGGTCAATATAACAGTCTTCATAGATGCAAATAAATTACCAACTCTTTACAACTGATTTAAATATAACATTCAGGAAAATGAAAAAAAAATGCCATTCTTAGAAGTAACATCTATAATGAGCCAATGTTACAAACGTTACTAAGAGGGCAATTTAATTCTAGTGTGTCTGAAGGTCTTCCCTAGAAACCTCTCTTCTGGAAAAAGTGGGATTTTTCTTTTTCATTGTATTCATTTTGAATGTGCTACATTAATCTATTTTATTCGTGACTTTAATTTTATAGAAAACTTCCTTATCCTCCTATATTTCACAGCCATTTTCCCCATCATAAAATTACTTTTCATACATTACACTCTATGAGCTTCAGAGAACGCACATGCTCTTAGGAGGTAATGGGTAATAACACAGGCGTGGACGGCTTTATTAATTCATCTGGCACTAATGGTATCTTAAGCTCTTCAGCCAATGCCATTCAGCTTTCCTTGGAGCTTTTGGAGACTGAGGGCAGTTGGAAAAAAAAGAGATTGATGCTTTGAAATAGGACCAGAAGCAAATGTCACTTCATTGCTTTATGACTTTAACCGATACCGTGCTGTGAAATGTCCCACTGCATTTTGGAAATGATGGTTACTCATTCACTGTAATAGCATCAAGATCATTATGAAGTGTTTTTAATTTTAATTTGACCCAGTAGAATTATAGATCCATAAATTCGTGATTTGGAAGATCCCTTAAAATCATCATTTAACTCTCTCAGTTTAAAGATGAGGAGATTGGAACACTCAATTCGGAAAAATAAATGTCTAAAATGATGCTATTTGCTCCCAATGTTATTAGGATAGCGTTAGGAACGTAACTCAGATATCCTTCCCACCTTCCTTCCTTCCTTCTTCCTTTCTTCTTGTGTTTTTTGCTTTTACTCTTAATTATCCTTTCATATGTTTTATATCAGGATTCTCAATCCTAGGGGTACATTAGAATGATAAAGGAATAATCCAGGAATCCCGCTTCTGGGTATTTATCTGAAGGAAATAAAATCGATGTGTGGAAGGGGAATCTGCTCCTCCGTGTTCGTTGAGGTGCTGTTCACCGCAGCCAACACGCAGAACCAGCCTCAAGCCCATCAGCAGAGGCACAGATAAAGAAAACGTGGAATACCTACTCGGTCTTAAAAACTGAGAAATCCTGGCATTTGCAACAACATAGATGAGCCTGGAGGACATCATGCTAAGTGTAACACGCCAGGCCCAGAAAGACAGAGGCCATGTGACCTCACTTACACGTGGAATCTGAAAGCACAGAACTCAGAATCAGAGGGTGGAACAGTGGTCACCAGAGGGAGGGTTGGGGGGAACTGGGAGGACGTTGGCGGAAGGCTGCAGCATTTCAGTTAGACGAGAGGAGTGAGTGAGGAGGTCTAGGTACCTACCACATGGTAAATGGTTTGTATCCTTGAAAATTGCTAAGAGATGAGATCTTAAGTGTTCTCACAAGCACAGGATGATGATAAGGATGTGAGGTGGTGAGATGTTAATTAGATGTTAATTAGCTTTATCGACTCGTCTTACAGCGTATACCTGTATCAAGATATCACGTTGTACACCATAAATATACACAATTTATATCTGTGAATATAACTTAATGAAGCTAGAAAAAATATTTTTAAAGTAAAAGAAGAAGTGTTTCTTCCATTTAAAAAAAAGCATCAGGCAAAGAACTTTTAAAGATAACAGTAGCCTTCCTCAGACAAATACATCAGATGGAGCCTGGGCACTGGTATGTTTTTAAACTTTCTCCAGGGTGATCCTGACTGATATAGAACCAGGGTCAAGACCTAATATTTCCATGAACAGGCTAAACGGACTCACTGGAACCAGCGCGTCCACCTTCCTCACCAGGTGCACTTCTGCACAAATCTTCGACTCCAGGTCACTGCGCGTCTGCACTCGGCTGTTTCAGCTCCCTGGGCTCACCAGACGGCTACAGCAGCTCCTCCCTCTCCCTCCACCCACGCGCCGCCCCAAGAGGGGAAAGCCAGGCACATGTTTGAGGGTCCTCTCAGCCATTCGTCACCAAATCCTCTCATTTCCTTCTTTCCAAAGCTTCTAACATCTGACCCTTCTCATTCTTACAACCGCCAACCCTCACCCCATGGCAAGACGATAGAGGCAGCTCGCAAAGCACACCCCGTCTCTAAGCAGCGTGGAGGTTCCTCAAAAGGAGGAAGCATCGGTTCACCACAGGATCCACCAATTCCACTGCTGGACGTTTACCCAAACGAACTGAAAGCAGCAACATGGAGACAGAGCTGCACGCCGTGTTCACAGCAGCGCCATTCACAACAGTCAAGGAGAAGTGACCCGGGATCTGTCCACAGAGGAATGGAAACCAGTGTGGTCCATCCACACAGTGCAGTGTGGCTCAGCCTCCAAAAGAAAGGGCATCTGACACATTGACATGTGCAGTAACAAGAAGACATTATGCCGTGTGAAATGAGTCAGTCACTAAATGACAAATCCCGTGTGGTTCCACTTCTAGGATGGCCCTGGAGCAGTCAGATTCAGAGTCAGAAAGCAGGATGGGGGTGCCGGGGCTGGGGAGGGGAATGGGAGCGAGTGTTTCATGGGGACAGAGTTTTACTTGCCGAAGAGGAAAAAGTTCTAGAGACGGAGGTGCTGATGGCTATACAGCAACGTGGATGCATTTAATGCTGCTGAACTTACTTACAAAGGACTAAGATGAAGAAATGCTTTCTGTTCCTACAATCCTGCCTGCACCAAGCCACCCATGTGACATTCTGCTTCCTTCACCCCCCAGCCTCATCCCTTGACGCTCACTTTGTGTAGCTGTGGAATAAACAAGCTCTCAACCTGGGAGTCCAGGGTCAGAATCCGGGCAAAGCTGGCCTCCCCAGAGTGACTCCTGCACTCTTGTTTCAGTTCTGTGCCCCTTGCTGCAGCCTCCAGGTTCTTCTCACTGTGCCTGTGCCCAAGCAGAACCACCCCAGGTACCTCCTGCAGCCCCAGAGAAGGCCCCTGGGGCACGTGGGGGCCACTGCTATGGAGAAGAACTGGCATAGACACAACTAGGGCATTAACATTGTCCAGAGACAGTGCAAAAGGCAGCTGAGCTACCTCCAAAGCCTCAAGAAAACAAACGTCAAATGAGTCACATGCTTTGGAAGCCTCCCTAGGCAGGCTGAGTAGTGAAGATTCATTGCGATGGATTATTACCAGAGTGAGGTTTGAAAAACAGATGCCTAATTATTCCAACACAATAGCCATTGCCGCTTCCTAATGAGAAGTTGAAATACTTTCACTCGTCTATTTCCAAGTGAAGAAAGGCTGTGTAGAACGTCAGTTAGCAACAAATTTAGGACCCAGTTGCAGTGGATAACGGACTGTCATCCTTTAGAACTCTACCCATTTCCATCATCTTAAATTGAAAAGCAAACATTTTTTGGCGGTAGTTTTCTTTAACAGAAATCACAGCTTTATGTAAAGTGGACTCCTTCAATTTTCAGCATTATTCTTTAGGCAAATCAAACCAGCAACAGATGCATTGGCTAAAAGTCCAAATTACGTTTTTAAAAATGCACATTTAAATATAAATTGAACTTGTGATCCATGACCCAGCCCTGAGTGCTGTCACCACAGACAGCCATCAGTGGGTTGAGGAAGAGGCCAACAATCTTTTAGGTTAGAGAATAACCACAGACAGCAAACCTCTTTTAGGCTAGAGAATAACCACAGACAGGGCCACTGATGGGGCTTCCGTCTTCAGCTGTGGTTTGTCGTCGATTGTATTCAACCGTTTGATGTTAAATGTATTCAACATTTCACATCTTTAACACAAGCATTTGGCCTTCTTCTTGTAAGCATAGCTCCATGTCAAAAGACTGATGGCAAATATGGCACCAGCTTTACTGTGCCAGTGGCAGCTCAGAAATGAAATTTCCATGTGATTTTAACCAGCACCGGGGAAAGTATGTCGTGGCAGCCTCTCCCAGGGTCCCTGGAAGGAAGAGCACAGTCAAACTCAGCATCCAGACCCCAGTGTGTGGGGCCAGCTGGAGAGATGAGCTGCTTCCTGCCAAGGAAGGGCTATGTGAAAAATGCAAATATGGGAGCTCCCTGCTTCCTGAGGTTGCTTTGAATACGTTTAGTCACAGAGGAGCAAGGGAAGGAAGGGTCCTTCACCTCTGGAGACATGCATTGTTTATGTGAACGGCTGCCTGAGTTCCTGAGGGCCAGGAACAGCTCTTCCTCACCCAGCACTTCTGTAATGTTTAAAAACTATTATTTTTGGAAAAAAGTAATGTACTTTTTTCCCAATGTACTTCTTCTTAGCTCCCTTTCTAAAGGCAAACATGCTAACATGTGTTTGTGGGAAGGTCCCGATGGTGGGAGCTGCCCGGAGCGTGCCCAGTTCTGTCCGGGCCCCGCCCCAGTGGGGTTGCCAATGTACTCTACCTAGATCCTCTTCTGCCGGCCCCGGAAAGCTGATGCCCGGCTGGACCAGGTCTCCACCTTCTTCCTCTGCAAAGACAGAAACAAAGTCACTCTTTAATGTGTTTCTGGTGTAGACTGCAGTCACTCCCAGCACATCTTCAAAAGCCTCCACACTCAACACAGTTCAAACATGACGGACACCTTCGTATTTCTTCAAACGTCACTGCTCAGAGCCCAGCATTTTGTGCCAGTAACCTCAGGAACAACCACTGTTTTCTGTAAAGCAGCATTGTGACCACAGATGCACATATTTCTCCTACCTAGACACGGACGTAGGCAGTGAGTCCTAATGATTCTCAGCTTTAACTCTGGCCTAACTTCAAATTTATTAGGCCTTATTTGCATTGGAACAGACTTCAGTAAAATCAGCCCACTCTGATTGTCCCTGGTTCCTTGCAGCTGGGTGAGTCCCGTGAGGGCCCCGCGTCGTCCATGATAGACTTTCCTTCCTGTCTAGAAAGCTTCACGCCATTCGAAGCCTCATTTTGCAATGTTCAAAGCCTGCAGTTGTGGTCTTAGTGTTTAATATTAGTTCATATTAGGTCCACTTTGACCAAAACACTGATTTCATTTCCCTCTGTTGGGAGATCACCCAGGTCACTGGCATTGATTTTCCATTGTTCACTCTGTGCTAACAGAAAAGCAGACATCACTTTCTTAGAATGATATCACCATGGGCTGTAAAAGGTCTTGGGGTCACTGAGCACTGTCTTCCCTCCATGTGTGGGGCAACAGGGACCTGGGGAGACAGATGAGCTTGTGATTTTATTTAACTGGTCCCTGGGGAGCTGGACTGAGCGCCATCCAGTGGCTCTCCTCCCGATGGGCTCTGCCCAGGAAACCAGGTGCCAACTCTCCAGGCCGCCTTAGTTTCTACCTGGCTGCAGAGGCAGTGTAGACACAGCCGAACCCCGGGGAGGCTCTGCCCAAGAAACCAGATGCCAACTCTCCAGGCCGCCTTGGTTTCTACCTGGCTGCAGAGACAGCGCAGACACAGCCAAACCCCGGGGAGGCTCTGCCCGAAACAGGTGCCAACTCTCCAGACCGCCTTGTGGTTTCTACTGGCTGCAGAGACAGCGCAGGCAGCCGGAACTGGGAGGCTCTGTAGGAAACCAGGTGCCAACTCTCCAGGCCGCCTTGGTTTCTACTGGCTACAGGGCAGCGCAGACACAGCCCGAACCCGGGGAGGCTCTGCCCAGGAAACCAGGTGCCAACTCTCCAGGCGCCTTGGTTTCACCTGGCTACAGAGACAGCGCGAACCTGGCGAACCCGGGAGGCTCTGCCCCACCAGCCACAGTGAGAGGGGTAGGGAGATAGCTGAGGAGACGGACAGGGAGCATCAGATAAGGCAGCATTTGGCACCATGTTACATGCCCTGTAAACATGTTATTTATGGGGGCACGTATCAGAGCGATAACACACATGTATACACACATCTTTGTCGCCACTTTGGCATATGTACCCAAAATATAGTATAAATATGACTGCAGGTTCAGACTCTAGGCATGTATTCACACATACACGGGTTTCCAATCTACTTGGACAGGCTTTGAAGGCACATCTCACATTTGTCCCCACCCCGACCCAAGTGTTAGATGCAGTTAGCCAGGCTGTAGCCTGCAAAAGGATTTACTTTAGACACTGCAGAGACAGCGCAGACACAGCCGAACCCCGGGGAGGCTCTGCCCCACACCAGCCACAGTGAGAGGGTGGGGAATGGCCTGAGGAGGCGGACAGGGAGCATCAGATAAGGCAGCATTTGGCACCATGTTACACATGCCCTGTAAACATGTTATTTATGGGGCACGTATCAGAGCGATAACACATGTATGCACACACATCTTTGTCGCCACTTTGGCATATGTGCCCAAAATATAATTATAAATATGACTGCAGGTTCAGACTCTAGGCATGTATTCACACATACACGGGTTTCCAATGTTCATGGACAGGCTTTGAGGCACATCTCACATTTGTCCCCACCCCCGACCCAAGTGTTAGATGCAGTTAGCCAGGCTGTAGCCTGCAAAAGGATTTACTTCAGAACATGATGCTGTCACCACCCCTGATTCAGCAAATCGGCATCTGCTGTTTTCAGTGAGTTGACAGAAGGTCAGGAAAGGAAGATGACAGATTTGGAATGCTGATGAAGAGGATACAGTTGCCTCTCAGGGAATGTGAACTAAGATTTCATTTTATGGGATTGCCCAGTTACAGCTTTTTAAAAAATATACATGTATAAGAAGTAGCTATGTGAATTAGGTTAAGTATTTTACAAGACAGCTCATTCAAATGACTTAACATAACTCAACCCCATTTCTTTAAGGCTAACAGCACTTTTTGCATACTTTAAGTTGCATCTTTCAGCTAATGAAATCCATCTTCCAAATGCCCACATTAAGTATAATATAAAGCCACAGACTGGAATGGGCTCATTCATGTAAAAATATGATGCACAGTTCTAATTAAGTACAGTTTCCATGGAGACCATCATCACATGTGTGAGTAATGTGAGAACAGAGCATCCAGCTAGGTGAGAATGGAATTTGGGGATAAACTAAAACAATGGACCCTCAACCTCCGCCCTCCTTATGCCCGAGTTTCAGCACACATGCACACAGAGACAAGGCCGGGCTCTCACCGGGTGGACTTGAAGGATGGGCCAACATCACACAGTTGCAATGACAAGCATGGGCGCTCTACTAACAACACCAGCAGCAGCAGGCATGGAGTTTAGCAAAGCCACGTGCTTCACACAGAGCACAAGCTTGGTCTCAGAAGCCTGTGCTTTGCTCGAGGAACACACCTAGTTATCTTGAGAATGGCACTTCGAGGATGAGGCGTGGGGACGTTTGAAGGTCAGCCCTTGAACTGTAGGAGTACAAATGCTTTGCTGCCTGATCTCCTCCCACCCGCCCTTGCTGTTTATCAGATGAGATAACAGGAGGTCCGAAGCCGCGTGGCTTGGGCAACACCATTCAAAGTTAAAAATCCAGCATGGCCTGAGAGTACATGTATGGAAGGTTTCCGAGTGTGGTGTGGCCTTCCAGCGGGGAGAGCTTAATATAGCATGTGTGTTGGTATAACTATGGTTACCATCCTTCCTTATCTAACGAGGCTTTGTATTCCCCCCCTTCTCGGAGGTTCTCTTCCCGTGGCTTCAGTCACCTGAGGTATGGAATGAGTGATTTTGAGAGAGACAACGAGATCACATTCACATATCTTTTATTACAGTAGATTGTTATAAGTGCCGATTTCATTATAGTTATTCAGGTTACTCTCCTACTGTGGTTAACATACCAGCTGAGCTTTATCATGGGTGCACAGACACAGTGAGTTCTGCACTCCGGCTTTCTTCTTCTCTTGCCCAAATTCCTATCCAGGGGGCCTGGGGAGTCATGCCATACAAAACATGGGGTCTCACTAGAGGGGTTTTCTTCACCTGCATAGCGTGGCTCACTTTCCAACCTGACTCTGGCACCACATCACGTGACAGATAAAGAAGGAAATAAAAATATTTCAATCCCGAATGTGTGGGTTTTTTTTTTTTTGGCCATATCTTGAAATAGTCCAGGAAAATCTATGTTCTAAAGAGTATTCCCTTCCTTTCCCTACCTTTTCCCAGATCCAGGAGAGAACTGACTCTGGTAAGAAGCACTTACCATCCATCCCCTTTGCAGCCTGCTGCCGGGAGGCCTCCTCTGCACAGTGGGAACCGTGTCTCCATAACTCCTTATCTTCACCCAGACATTGCTTTCTACGGATTCTAGGTCTTTAGACAATAATTTAACTCTTTCAACCAACAGCCAGTCGGAAAATGTTTGACTCCATAATGACTTGGGAGGCCCCACTTCCAGCTGTCCCGCCTTTCCAGACCCAACCAATGTACATCTACAGGTATTGACCGATGGCTTATGTCTCCCTAAAGTGTATAATACCAAAAGCTGTATCTTGACCACGCTGGGCATGTGTTCTCAGGATCTCCTGAGGGCTGTGGACTGGCCATGGGTCACTCATATTTGGCTCAGAATAAATCCCTTCAAAATACGTAATTTGACTCTTCTTGTTGACAACAGGAAAAATATACCTACAAGTGCCGGCACTGGCTGAGGTTTCAGGCATCCGCTGGGGGTCTTGGAACATGTCCCCGTGGACAGAGGGGACTAGGGTACTTCTACCACCTTCCCATCCCCAGTCCAGAACCCTCACTAGGCAAGAACGCTGTTCGCCTGGACAGGCCATGGGAAGAGCCATGTTCTCCTCCTCCTCACATCTTCAGCATCTGGGACAGTGGGGGAGAAATGTTAATTACCATCTCAGCCACCTTAGAAATGCCCTTATCTATGCTTAAAGAGACACAGGAACCCTCGTTCTTTCCGTAGATCTCTCTCTTTCCTGGTCTCCTCCTACGAGGGAGGAGAGCAGTTTGCTCCACCGACCATGGGAAAGATGGGCCGCGGGGCCTAGGAAGCCAGCTTGGCTGCCGTCATAGAACCACAGCTCCGCCTGCGCGCTGAGACCTTCTGAAATCAGGTGACGGAGCTTCCTCCACCTGGCGTCCTTATTTCCCACGGTCCAAACGGAACACCTGCCAGGGAGAGGCTCGGTGCCGACCCAGCCCCTGCCTGCGCTGATCATGCTGCGACACTGACAGCGCCGACCTCCCACATCACGTTTCCGTGGCAAAACCAGACACGTGCCTTCCACTGAGAAGTGCTGGGAATCACCCATTCACGCGTGGGATGCGTGTCTGTCTTCACTGGAGAAACACAACTTTCACCACGGCCACTCCGGGTGGGGCGTCCTCACTCAGGCCCCTCACTTCAGGTCCCTTCTGGCAGAAGGCGCTTCAGGAGTCGCCTTTCTCACCTGCCGGAGCTCCATGAAGGCCGCGCTCCCTAACGCGTGGGAGACCGTGAACCGTGTTCCCTCACGCGTGACCCGGAGACCCCGTGAACCGTGTTCCCTCACGCGTGACCCGGAGACCCCGTGAACCGTGTTCCCTCACGCGTGACCCGGAGACCCCG